TATAAAATATATATACATATACATATACACATATTGGTATTGTGGTTTATCCTCCTCCGGCTATTTGCCATATAGAGGCCACATTACCAAGACCCGCAAAGACAGGTTTGGCTCCCCAAGGAGCGTCATAACTCGCTCTACCGACCAAAAGTAAAGTGAGTTTAGGAAGAACGAAGATATGTTAGAGTGAAAAAACAGAAGTAGTCGTGTTAGAAAGACAGCATAGAGAAAGCGGACAGGATTGCACTCGATGTTAGGAGGTGCAATAAGTTGAAATAGGGACTAAAAACACAGGGACTAATAAGTTTCAGTATGTGTTTTTAAAAATATATATATATATATATATATATATATATATATATATATATATATATATATATATATATATATATATATATATATATATTGTATACATTAATTGGCTTAAGCCAATTATGTGATAATGACATATTGCACCTTCCAACATCGTGTGCAATCCTGTCCGCTTTCTGTATGCTATCTTTCTAACACGACTTCTTCTGTCTTCTACTCTAACATTCTTAGTTTTTCCTAAACTCACTTTACTCTTGGTCCGTAGAGCAGGTAATGACGCTGAACTTGTCTTTGCGGTCCTTTGTAATGTGGCCTCCGTATGGCAATTAGATGAAGGAGGATAAACCACAACACCATACATACACATAGTTCTATACTTACAAATAAATGATTAATATGATCAAGGCTTGATCATAGGAACAAAAATCATGTTTGTGTTGATTGTGGTTTGATATTTTAATAATCACGGAAGATTTTATAATTTATATAATTTATATTTAAGTTATATAATTTCGCAATAAAAAAAAGTTGAGTTCGTAAAAACAATCAACTTTTTGCGATGTATTTACATACATTGGACCAACGTTGATTTATATACATTGAATCAACGTCGAAATATATACATTAGATCAACGTTGGGTTTAGATTGTAAAAACAATCAATTTTATGTGATATTTTTACATACATTGGAAAAACGTTAGTTTATATACATTGAATCAATGTCGAGATATATACATTGGACCAACGTTGGGTTTAGATTGTAAAAACAATAAAATTTTTGCAATGTTTCTACATACATTGGACCAATGTAAATTTATCAGATGTTTTTAGTTCAGTCGGTAATAATTTTATTATTAACCAAATGAAATTGGATCAACGTTGGTTTTGCATTGGAAAAAAGAACTGACGTTTGCGATGGTTTTACATACGTTGGCCAAATGTAAATGTGCTAGCTGGAAGATATAGACAATAACTTTTGCAGCCGAAGTAGGTCGTAAAACCGCATTTGGACTATTTAAAAAATAAATCCTGAGTTTGCCATAAGGTGTTATAAAGCCCTTATATTTATTTATTTCGCTCTATGTTATAAATACCATTTTCATATACAAACGTATACAATAAAATAAATAGCTGAAGCAAGATGAAGACATAATGTCTTATCACCGAGCACCATTTCTTTAAAATTGTAGTTTATAAATGTTTTATTATAAAGCCGTAAATACATAAACAAGAGGATAAGATGTCGTATTGTTTTATATAAGTTTTAATACATAAAGAAGAAAGTAGTAATTGCTAAACAGCTTACATTTTCTGCAGTAGCTAAAAAAAAAAAAAAAATATTACACACATACACATACCATTCTGAGGTAACGTCATTAGTAAAATTTGTTGTATGGATTTTAATAATAATTTTTTTTTTGATTTAACTTAATTTTTATATTTGAGTTTAACTTTATTTAAAATAAAAAACATTAAAAATCGAGCAAAGTGTAAGCCATGGATAAAAAGAACCGTTTAGATTCTCTTTTAAAGAGATCTAGAAAGGTTATTATCTTTTTTCTTTTATATCTTTTTAACATATTTTTGCTTATTGTTACGGAATGTTTTTCATAGATATGGCCCGCGATACTTAATTGAGTATGAGCTCAATTTCAATTTTTATTTTTGAATAACAAAGTTGTTTCTTGAGAATCTTATATTTATGACAGATTTCACTAAAATAGGATCCAAATATTTTTGGCAAAAATCTTAGCTTAGTTCTATACATAAAGACTAAAATTTGATTTAAAATAATTTTATGAATATTTAATGCTCCAAGTAAACAGTGGCGAGGTTCGTAAGGTTCTTCTCTCTTAGCTCCAAATACAATTCGCCATGCGTGTTTTTATATATATTGTAAAGCTTTTTTAGTTTTGCATGATTAGTATTTGCCGAAGCGATGTTACAGTATCTTAAGTAACTTTGAATAAAAGCAAAGAATTAACCTTATAGTAATTTAAAATTAAGAAATGGTTTAGCTCTATATACCATTCTGATGTTTTTTGAAAAATTTTTTTCTTCACTATTTATATAAAAATTCCATCGTAAGTTTTTATCCAACTTCAGATTTCCTTTTACTAATATCAATTTTATTAATAGTTTTATAATATCAAGGGGGTGTTATCAATTTTATTAATAGTTTTATAATTTCAAGGGGGTGTTATCAATTTTATTAATAGTTTTATAATTTCAAGGGGGTGTTATCAATTTTATTAATAGTTTTATAATTTCAAGGGGGTGTTATCAATTTTATTAATAGTTTTATAATTTCAAGGCGATGTTATCAATTTTATTTGATTTATATTGTATATTTTTTTAATATATGTATATTTTATTATTTTATCAAATTAAGAAAAAAACTATATGTTAAATATTCAAAATCAAAAACAGAAAGTAAAAGTATTATAAATTACACTAAAATCTTTGAGCGTTAAAGAAAAAATATTAACTATAAATACTATTCTAATTTGCTAGAAAAATATAAATTAAATTCTAAACGCACTGGGAAATCATACAAGAAATTGCAACTAGTAACAAAACAAAAATGTCTTAAACTAAAACTATTAATTAAACAAAGAGTTCTTGATTAATCAAGAAAAGATAGCTGGTAAGCTAAATAAATATTTTATATCTGTTGGCCCAAACCTAGCCAAAAAATTTAAACCAACTGATAATTTTAAAAAACATCATTTTTTTCCCCCAACATCACATCTTAACTTCTTTAAGCTAATTTTTGATGAATTTAAATGCGCTTTTAAAATGTTCAAACCTAAAAAAGCCGTTGGCCATGATGATACCAATAAAAGCATTGTTATTAATTCATATGATCTCTTTAAAATTTCTTTTTAGGATATTTTTATGTTCCATTAGACAAGATTTTTTCCTAATCAATTAGAATAGCAAAGGTTATACTAATATTTAAAGTAGAAGATATAACTAAGTTAATTAGCATTTGCCGTCATATATCCATTCTTTCCGTTTTCTCAAAAGTTTTAGAAAGAATTTTTTATAATAGAATATATAATCCCCTATAAAGTAATAACCTCATATATAACAACCAATATGGTTTAAAAATAAGAAATTTTACGGAACATGCACTTATCCAGTTTTCAAGAAGTATAACTTAATCGTTTGAAAATTCCCAATATACTTTAGGAATTTTCATAGACTTAGCAAAAGCATTTGATACCATAGATTATGAAATTCTTATAAAAAAATTACTATATTATGGAATAACTGGTAATGTTCTAAAATTGATTACAAACTATCTATATCTATCTACATATGTAAAAACAATATACATAAAAAAAACTACTTACCTGATTTAACAATAGACTGGGCTAAAAACGTTTTTAAAAAGAAATTCTGCATTTTGTCACTGTAAAATTTACAAACCATTTTTTGGAAGAACTAGAGAAGTAAAATGTAGTAAGTTTTTAATGTGCTTATTTTGAGTCAACGTAGACAAATTGCAAGCAATTTGTCTACGTTGACTCAAACTGCCATAGAAGTTTGCTTGATATAACATGTTTGCTTGATATAACATGTTTCAACTCGTTTCTCCGCGCAGCAGCCTTGTTCGTCAAGGTTCGTGTTTCGGAGTTATAGAGTTGAGAGAGGGTTATAGCCACAAATAAGTAGCCTCCTCGTCTGTAGTGGCCTTCTCGGCCTTGAGGAGGTGAATTAAAATTGAAAAAAAAAAAAAAATGGGGAGTACTTCAGGGATCAATATAAGAACCCTTAAATTTTCTTTTTTACATCAACGATCTCTATAAAACCTTAAACTTAATGATCATTATGTTTTCAAGTGACACTAATCTGTTTTTATCTCATAATAACATAAATTGTCTATTTGAAAACATGAACAATGAACTGCATGTATGTGTGTATGTGTGCATTTATGTATGTATCCAGAGACGTCTTGAGGAGGAGGAGGGGGGCGTTGGGTGTCTAACCTCCTCCTAAATTTACAAGTTTGCATATAGGACACTAGGGTCGGTTAAGTTGGATTTATAGTTGGAAGTTGGCAAATGTCAGCTAAGTCGAGAACCTTTTTTTTTTAAGACCGTAGTTGGCAAAAAAACTTTTTGGCCTCAGTGGGCAAAAAATAGGTATGTCACCCATTCCCCCTCCGTTAAATCTCTTCGGGACGGCCCTGTATGTATTTACGATTGTACGTGTGTATGAATGTATGATTGTATGATTGTGTGTCTGTATGCATGTATTATTGTACGTGTGTATGTATGTATACATGTATGATTGTACGTGTGTACGTATTTATGTGTTCTATAGGAAAAAAAAAATCAAAGAAAAATGATTCTAATGTGGAGCCTACCATATTTTAACTTAATTTAATAAAAACTTCAAATAATATTTTTATTAAAAAGAAACTATTTTGCACAATTTTCATCAACTTTATTTTATCTAACTTTAGTGGTTCTTATGACAAGACCTCTTTTTTTTTTTTGAGTCTTTTTTGAGTTTCCGCTTCCTTTAAATGAATTTGTAATAACTAAATAAATTAAAATAGAAAGAAACTTAATGTTCAACAACTGAAAGATGGATTAAAAATTAGTTAATAAACTTTTAGTCCAGAGAGAAAAATAAATAATGAGTATTTAGTAATAATAAAACAAAAATAAAAGCGGTTTTTAATTATATTACTTATTTATCTAAAAGTTGTAAGAAATTAAAAAAAAAAATAGTCGATAACAATATTCTTGTCGTTAATCTTAACAAAAAATGGCGTTAAAACATGTGGCAAAAAGTTGCAAAATCCATTGTACTATCTATCCTAACAAGCTTTTTTGACAAATTAATTTTGTCCATTTTCAACAATAATATAAGTTATTGTATAAAAAATCTTTTTATTTGTTAATCAAAACCAACAATGAAAACAGTGCTTCTATTTTAGTTAAACCACAAATAACAATATTTTAGCTGCGTTGATTAGATTATGGTTACGCGCAACATTGTTCTTTTTTACACCAAAAAGCTATAAATATTATTGTTACTGGTAACAATGCTGTTACTGATGCCAACTCTTAACTATCAATACGAGATCAAATCTTCCATTTAACCCTTTGAACCCAGGAGTCATTTATAAACTTTCTAAAGTATATTCCATCAGCATCGCCTATAAATAAACAAGTGCATAATAAAAGTTATAATATATAATATATATGTATAAATAATCCGTATCCATTACTATACATGCTTTCTAGATTTTTATTTTTTACATTGTTTTACATTTAACTTTTTTTATTTTTAACCATGGCACCTAAATATACTTTTTTTTTTTTTTTTTTTTTTTTTTTAATAAATATGGTTTAGCTTAAAAATATTGAGGTATTAATGGATTTTTTCGTAGATTTTTAGATCCAACAGCTGGAAAAAATCAAACTTGTGGTAGAATCTCAAGTATACGCAGTCTTTTAAACTGCTTTTAAATTATAATAATGATTATTGTTATCTATTAGGGTTTGTAAATTTAGCGACTTTTTCATTTACCAGTAACTCGGTAAATGGTAATTGAAATACAGGCATACCAGTATTCGAATATAAATAAATTTATTAAATTGCAAAACAAGCTAATATATTTGCTATTTCAAAAATTTTCAAATTACAGTTGTAAGGTTTACTCGAGCATTAAGAATGCATTACAATATTAACATTTTAATGTTGTCTACAAGAAAATAAATTACTTACTTTATTTAACATTTAATTATAACACAATGTTTTCTATTTATTAATAAATAGTCAGCCAATACGAGTTATTTAAACTTAATAAAAAACGCAAATTACATACTATACTATATAGCGGTAAATTTTATAAACTAAAAATCGCTATAAACCGGTAAACCGGTATTACAATCCTAATACTAATGTACATACTAATGTTGTTAACAGTAACTGTAATACCATCATCCAGAAAACAAATACTACAAACGCCCTTAAACTTTATCTAACCTTCAATCAAAGTATTTTATTTTCAAAAACAAAATCAATATTTCACCTAAACTACACTTAACCCCATTTAACACTTGCTTTATCAACTCCGCACATCTTTGACAGACAACAATGCAATAGATCGCTGAGTTAACTAAAAGTTTCAGTAAACTAAAAAAATAAAATAAATAAAACTAACTATGTAATCTTTCTACATATTATTGTTGAGAAAACAAAACAACCAAAAAAGTCCTAATAACTTTATTTAACTTTTAATTAAATTATTTCATATTCACACCCAAATACAACATTTCATGTTAACTTTATGCTAACTTTACTTTAAACATTTCATGCTAACTTTACTTTAAACTCAGGTAAAGTATTCTATTCCCACCTTATTTATTTTCAATTACAATATTCCAAGTATTCTTAATTTAAAACTTACTTGAGATATTTTATGTTTAACAGAATAATCAGTAAACGAAAATTTACCGGTAACCGCAATTACAATGTGTATTATCTATAAATATCAGTGGTGCAGTGGTTTAATTCTGACTCAGAACCAAGAGGTCCGAACCAAGAGGTCCGAACTAAGAGGTCAACAAATGACAAACATATATAGATAAAATCTATAGATGTTTTATATATGTTGCTTTTCAATATATTGATCTTAATTTAAATAAAGTTTTACCTTTCCATTCATTTAGACCTAAAACAACGACTTTTTCATTGTCTCCTTCTAAATTTTTCCGCATATTTGGATTAATGTATCTGGCTGAATATTTGTAAAAATCGTCGTCGTTTAAAGAAAACCACTTTTGGAATGTGTTATGAAACATTAAATAAGTTTTCTGATTTCTGTGAACTGCGTAGAGTTCTCTTGTTATCGAATGGTGCCCAATAATAGAACCTATACTGACGTCTATAGCTTAATATATAAAATAAAAAAACGAATAAAAGATTTTTTTAAAGGTTTTATTTTGTTAATTTATTAATTAAGTTTATTTTTTAAACTCCGTAAACTCTTCTAGTAGTTAAACACAAAATTTTTTTTAAATTATGAATTATGTTAAGAAGTGTAACCTGCCCATAGCGCTCCTAAGTTGTTTGAATAATAACATGCAGTCTTTGTGCTAAAAAATTTAAACTTATTGTCATTATATATATATATATATATATATATATATATATATATATATATATATATATATATATATATATATATATATATATATTTATTTCTTTATATATGTATATATATATATATATATATATATATATATATATATATATATATATATATATATATATATATATATATATATATATATATATATATATACATATATATATATATATATATATATATATATATATATATATTTATTTATTTATATATATATTTATATATATATATATATATATATATATATATATATATATATATATATATATTAAAGTTTATATTTCAACTTACTACTCAAATGTGTTTACCTAATAACATGTTGGTTTTTGCAAACATAAATGTGGGAGTTTGTTGAATCCCAATATATTCCTCGGCCATAGCTCTCTATACAAAAACAAAAAAAGAGAGAAACATTTAACTATAATATTTTTAGGATTTAAGATTTTAATAATAAAACAGGTCTAAAAGTTTAAACATTAGTTTATAATTATTAATTTTTAAATTAATTTTAAATTATTAATATTTAAGTTTTAAAATTTAATATCTTGGATAAAATTAAAATAAAAAAAAAAAGTAAAAAAAAAAGTTATTAAGAATTTTATTGAAATGATATTATTCATAACTATTAAATAAAATCTTTTGTCTGATTAAGCTAAAATTTTAAAAGTTTAATTTAAAATTGTATACCTTATATGTAAAAATTAAAACCCGTTGGGTGTTACTCCCATGATAATATTTTTGATTGAGGGTCAACATTGTTCGTAAACTATAACAGAAAAATCCTATTACCTGGAAGTGCTTTAGGATGTCGTGGAATGTTTAACTTTTGATTGTAAAGAAAACTGAAATTTGTTCTAAATGTTCGGAACTGTGTCCATCGTTTTCCTAAATAATTTTGTAAAGAAATCTCCACAGGTACTTCTAATGTAAAATTACTTTTGGTTGGAATTTTTGCTTCGTCGAGATTTGCATTGATTTCGTGAGTAAGAGTTTCTTTACATTTCAACGAACCAGTCCACTATGTAAAATAATAAATAATTAAAAAGATTAAAAAGTTGGTTTGCTTCCTCTTAATTTAACATTTCCTACAGTTGACCTTTTATATTTATAAAAGTTTGACCATAAAACACTTTTAAATTCAAAAAAAGTTTAAACAATAAAAACGTGTACATCTAAAATATGTTAACCAATAGAAACAACTTTATATCTACAAAATATTACCATGACAAAAACAAGTTTATATCTAAAAAATTTATACAATAAAAACACGTTTTGGTTTAGCTTAGTTATGATCAGATTATCATAGCCTTTTTCAAGATAACTTCATTACATAGTAATATGAACAACAAAATAAAAAAAATAGGTATTTAAGTTGCATATTATTTGATTATATAACTATTCAGGGCCGACGACACCGGCGGGGACTTTTTTTCTATCGGACCTTTTTTTTAAGAAAAGATTTTTTTAAGAAATTTTTTTTAAGATAATAGAGGACTTTTTTCACAAATAGATAATTGTGCCCCCCCCCCCCCCACTTTAAAACCCGGAAAAAAAAAAGGATAACATTTATTTATATCTAACTATTACACCACGGCTGCTACATCAAAATATTTTGAATCACAATTATACTCTAAAGTCACGTAAGTTTTTTGGTATAATATATATGCTTATCTCTTGCAACTTGTGCTTCTGAAAAAGAAACTTAAGATTTTATCTTTGTAGGTTTTTTCTATAATGACAAGACTTGTTTTCTTCATTTTTTTTTTTGAAATATTGAAAAAATATATATTGCAGTTACAGAAAGAAAAATAAATACTTTAATAATGTTTAATTATGGTGCATTTTTATATAAAATGCCTCACATGTCTTTACATAAAAAAGTTTAATAACTTTATATATAAAAAATTAACATTTTTTTACATTCAATTTTACGTAACAAAAAACTAAAGTACAAGATATCTGATTTTTTATTCACTTCTCATTTTAATTGGATGCATTGCATATACATAATACATACACTCATATATAAAACTTGATAAAAGATTACTATAATTGTCCAATAACATATGTAGGGTAGTCAAAGATCATCTGTATTTTTTTTTTTACTGAAACAATATCTGTCCAATATCACCTGGAAATTCAATGACCCTAAAAACATCATTAGAAAGATGTAACTACATCAGGTAATTTTTCATTTCAGATGTTGGTTGAAAAGATGTTATTATACCTCAGTGTACTTACAAGATGTTGTTGGACAGATGTAGTTATACATCATTATATTTACAGATGATGTAGAACAGATTTTATTAGATATAGCAAAAACTGATATTGCACCCTGATCCGTTGCATCAACTACATTAAAATTAATCATGAAAATAATTCTTTAGAATTAGGATAATTTTAGTCTGGTCATTAGTTTTTATAATTTTTTAAAAGGTGCATAATTTTATGTCTACATTTAGAAAATAATTCAGACTTTTTGTTTAGTAAATTTTTTTGACCCAATTGAGTAATAATTTCAAACTTTTCTTGTAAACATAGCATCCGTTTTTTATAAATTTGTATAAATTTATCACTTATTTATTATGGCTCTACCCTTTAAGAAAATTAAGCACTCAGTTTGTAGTATACATTAACATAATATATATATATATATATATATATATATATATATATATATATATATATATATATATATATATATATATATATATATATATATATATATATATATATATATATATATATATATATATATATATATATATATATCGGATTTAGGGATGACATACGGCAGTGCCAATCTCGTTTCTATGTTTTATGGTCAAACCTTAGTTTTACATTTTTTCTGTCGACCTGATGCCAATTATGATTATGACATCGCACAGATTATCACTCCTTACATGCCTTCACACAAATTAAAATCAAATTATTGCCGACTTCACACACATTAAAATCTTATATATTGCCGACACATTAAGATCTATATAAATAACATATTAAGATCTTATATATTGCCGACTTCACACACATTAAGATCAAATTATTGCCAACCTAATTTGGAATGACCTCGTTGTTGCACAGAATTTTTGAAAGATCTTATTCAATAGATATAACTAAGAAATTGGTAAGCCGGTCTTGACTTATTGTAGATCTTAATGTTGTCTAGACTAAGCTTACTGAAAGATCTCACTTTCGGCAATGGAAATGAGAATCGTGTTAAAAATACGTAACAAAATGCCTATTGATTCGAAGATAGACTCTAGACCTTTTTAATAGATTTCATTTCACAGCTTCATTGAAGTGAGATTTTCTTTTGGACCAAAAAACATGGTGTGCTTCAGAATATCCAGATGATGGACCTCTAAAATTAGTTTGTCTTCATCTACATTGTTCACATAGATTTGCGCCAAAATTTACACTTCTTCTCCAGGCTAGGTGGTTCAATTCCGAAAACCATAGGAAGGAGAAACTGTTTGTCATTTTTTCTGCAGCTCGAAATCTGTCTCTTATTTGTTGGATTAAAGTATCGAGAGCGGTGTTCTTCAGCCGTTTTTTATAACACTTTAAGGAAAAAAAATCAAAATCAACTTTTTTATAAAATAAGTTTCCTTAGGTGCCTGCAAAGGTTATTGAATAATTGTTTTTAAAGAACTTTGAAAAAGTTCATACAAATTATATTTTTTAAAAAATGTTTTACAAAAACTTTCTTGTATTATTATTTTTAATTGCGTTTTTCTCGAAATACGTAAAAAGCATCTAAAGGCGTTTTGAAAAACGGGTACAGTGTTAAATACGTTCACCTCAAACTACTTTTCATCGTTTTAGTAGAAATGAACTTCATTCCTTGCTTCTTTGTAAAAGGTTTTCCTCTTCCTTGTCATTTTTTGAACTAACTTTGACTATAACCCATAACTAGCTAAACCGGAGGTAGGCAAATGTCTTCATTAATTAATTCGGGCCAAGAATATCTAAATTCATAAGATCCTTGGTAGGAATCCTCATAAACTTCATCTCTTCATCTAAAATAATGTTTCCTGATTGAAATGACACGCTGACAATTGCTTGGCGTGCTTCGAACCAGAAGGTTGTCATGATAATAAACTTAAATGAATAAATCCATTTCTCCAAAGACTTTACGTCATTCAATATATTAGCAGTTAAATCAAGTTTCTGAAGTTTCTGCAAAGAAAAAATAATTTCTCTAAGTTGCTTAACCAACGGCTTCTCTAAGTTGCTTAACCAAAGTCTCAATCCATGCACTCAATCGGGTTTGTAAGGTTTAATGAAGAGACCAACCAGTTGTCTTGGTCAAGATTTGACATTGTATAGGGCTTCCACTAAAAAAATTGTAGAGTAACTGAATCCGGCCAAAATAGTTCTTCATTTCTGCAGAAGATTCAAGGGAATAAACACCAGCTAGGTTAAGGTTATGAGCGTTGCATAGCATGTAGAAAGCTTCAGGATTTTTCTGAAGGATGATCGCTTTTACTCCTTTGTACACACCAGACATGTTGGCCTCGTTGTTGTACCCTTGACCTCAACAGTTCTTCAGATTAATGTTATTTTGATCCTAGAAATCCATAATTATCTTGGCAATAACTTTCTTTTGTTTAAGATTTTCGACCTTAATAAATCGCTTCTTAACTACCTGTCTTTTATCAATACCATTGTAGACAAAGTGAAGAACAAATGCAATTTGCTCAGTATAAGAGACGTCAGGCGTTCCGTTGACAAGAATAAAATAGTAAATTACTATATGCAATTCTTTAATGATGGCACCGTGGACGATTCTTCCGCACTTTTTTATAAATTTATTTTGGGAACTCCAACCCAAAGAGTGCACGATAATTTGTTTACCTTCATGTTGACACCAGGAAACTTTTTTCTGATGTAACTAAAGGGTCTTGTTTTGCTTTGCGAGTAGCTCTAGAGTTGCAAGAAAACTGCCGTTATCGTCATCATTGATCATTTTTGAAGAGTCTAAAGCGACAATTTTAATACATACATGTAA